TGGAATTCACCCTGTTTGGCAGGAACTCTTAAGTGCATCTGCTTAAAGACTAAAAACATTCCTGTCATGGAGCCATAGCTTTAGAGGACTTTTACCCCTGTCCTGATGATGACCATTATCAGGGTCCTTTGCATTCCTCTCATGCCCCCTGTAATCCAATGTCATAATGTGACAAAATATCTTGCACCTAACCCTCAATGGTATTTCCGTTCGAGTCGTTATGGTTATAGCAAATAAGGTGGAAAAGTATCTAAATCCAACCCAAGAAATGGGATTTCCTTACTTGGCCTGTCACAGTATCGGTTTATTCTTGTGAGTATGCAGGATCCGTTGCAACATAAGATATCCAGGTGCACAATTTTATGCACATCTGCAGTCGCTTGGCTCACAGCCATGGGAAAATACTTTTTAGGAGGTTTCAGCAGTGGATATAAATGAGCGTCTTCCCAACCTGACGTCTGCACCTTCAATACAATTCACGCATAGGCGCCACTTTGAGAAGTCAGCCAAATCCAAGATTGCAGAATAGCAAACATTGTGCTTTGAAGGGAGACGTAGTTCTGAATGATTTAGCCAACACTGTATGGGAAAAGTCTTTGGCATCCTCCACTCCGTGACAACAAATCACTCCATGTAGCTCAGAGAGACGCGGGCTTCGAGGACTTGGAGACATTTCAGCCAGTCCGTGTTGGTCGCCGTTCTGCTTAAATTGTGCTTGGCTGGAATAGATGGATTTCCCTACTGCAGCTGTGGTTTAGTCTGAGAGAGGCAATGCAGGCCTGTTGCTGGGTTTTTCTGAGACCCATTAGCTTTTACAGCAGCTTAAATTCCTTGTCAGTGTGCCAGAGCTGAGATCATGGCTTGTTTTTCTTCTTGTTTGGTCTTTATCAGACGCTAATTTGCAAGACAGGTCTTCAGAACGGCTGAGTTTTTATCTCATTTTTCACTTCAGTTGGTTCTCTCGAGTGTAATAATGAATATGTGTCTGCTTCAGTGGGACACATATTCGTCTGATAGCACTCCATCAGTGCATGGCACACACCTGCTGAGAAAAACTAGAGCTGACTGCGTTTTTTAACCATTCATCTGCATCCACGTTCCTTCTTTCCTTCGATACCTCCACTGATATCTTTTTTCGTCCCCTGCATTTTGCCCTGTGGTTTTCATCCATCATTCGGGCTCTGAGAGACAGATGGTAGTTGGCTGAATGTTTGATCAGTGGCCTAAATGAAAGGAGTTTATGGCTTTTGATTGATATGAGGTCGATGAGCGCCATTACAGTGTCTTGTTATATCACTTTATTGTGTGGTAATGTAATGTTTATGTTGCCCTGAGCTCATGATCCAGCATGTGTGGGTTGGCAAAGCTTGAGTTGAATGGTCTAGCAAAAGCAAGTAATGACACGGACTGAACTTACATCATGACATCATGTACATAAATCACGTTTAGAGCTGCAGACTCACTCACTGCAGACTTAAGACACTCCTTCTCTTTTATTAAAGAGGCAGTTCATCAGTTCAAATTGTCATTATTAACCCTCATGTTGTTCCAAACCCTCTTTGACATTCTTCTGTGGAACACAAAGTGTGAAAATTTTTTTCTAATAAAAGTCAAGCCTAAAATTATGAAAAAGCACCATTAGAGATTCAAACGTGGACTATATGTATTCTGAAGTCATGCAATAGCCAAAATTGAATTTGTTATTTACTGAAAATATCTCAGCTGTGTCTCACAAATCAATTATTATGTGTCAGGCTTTATTTCAGTTTGTTCCTCCACACATATTTTTCAGTCTGGTCTTCTGGAATGGCATGAGGGTGAGTCAATGAAGATGGGATTTTCATTTTTGGGTAAACAGGCATAAAATTTACCTCATTTATTTTCTAAATATTGTTCTCTTAATCTTGTTGCAAACAATTCATCCATGCATATATTTCTTTTTTAACTGTTTTGACCATTTAATTTTGAATAAAAATGTCATAAGTGGATCTTCCGGTAAATCAACAAACTTGTCTCTGGTGGCGTATGTCAAACTTTTACAATCATTAAACCCCGTCCACAAGTCGACTACAAACTTGCATTGAGATACGCCTCCATTTTTTAGTGCAACACCCACATTTTTTCTTTTCCGAATCCGTTACTGTCGCTATTTCTGTTTCGTTGCAACTTCAAAAATACTAAAGAAAACAAACAACTTATCCTCAAACATTTTCATCTTGTTTTTCTTCTGTCGGCACAATGTAAATGCAGTTAGACAGGGTGGAGGTGTTGAGACATGCACAGCAGTTGTCCACATGTGATATATGCTATCTGGAAGAACATCACTGCAGTAGAATTGTGTGGTTTTAAAGGCTACAAAGAAGATAATGGGGTTGCAGCATACACTAAGCTTTATACGCAGCCTAGGCAGACGAAGTGTCATCTATCTGAATCATCTGGAATGCAGTGCAACTTTTCCAGTCTGCTGTTGAGATTGGGACTGTCATCAGAATCTAGGAAAGCAGATTTGGATTTTACATGTGGCAGATTTGTGCCAAGATAGATTCGGTTGTGTTATGTGGAGATATCTTCTCCTTTTTCCATTGATTTTCATGTGGGACGATTTTTGTCTCGAGTCCCACAACATTACAAACTTTGTTCTTATCAAAAAGGGAAGCTCACGGAAAACAGATCACGACAGAAATGGGTCAGCCACTTTTCATTATCAGCTAGATGACGGAGGGAAAGAAACACCACAACAACTAGAGGCCCAAAGTCCGTTGTCTCCTATTGAACAAAAATGAGACCACAGCTGCTTTAGAGCTTTAGACAGTGTGTCAAACCAACAAATTCCAGAGCTGTGCTTTCTTACCTGAAAACGTCTGAAACGTCCAAGCAAGCACGCTGTCAGAAACTGCATAAAAACTCTGCTTCCTTCTTCAGGGAATTGTGATCTTCATCGACATTTCCTGAACATTCCTCACTTTGTTGTATTTTTAACTTTTAGCCAGTACTTTCAGTCCTTGCGTGTTTTAGTTCCAGGAGATCTAATATGACTGCATTTGCATACCTCATTGATCCTGATCTCCAGAGAGAATCAGACCTGAAGCTATCATGCATGTCGTTTATTTAAAAACAGCTCTTGCTAATCTTGATGATGAATTCATATGGTATGTTTGCACATGCAGGCTCTGTAATCATCTAAACAACAGACTCGGGTGACCTCACTCTGTCATTAGCAGCTGGCCAGAGTGCAGAATGCATCTTTTTGACAGATGATTTGAGCCGAAACTCAGAGGTTGTTATATACAGTACATGACTACTACTTTAAGTGAGGTATGTCATGAAACATACATTCTTTAAGAGGTGAATGATAGTAACATATAGTGTACCATGTTATTGTACTGATAACGCTGGATATACTGTATAGATGTCAACAAGCAAAAAAGTTTTTCAGTTTGAGTGTTTTCAGCTTGTTTATTTTCATTTAAAATATGGCATGCAGTTGCTCCAAACAATGGTATAAACATCACTCAATATAAATTGTGATCATCGTAAATAATAATCACAATTACAATTTCAAGGGAATAATCGACAATTATAATTTTTGTCATAATCATGCAGCCCTAGTATCTCCTCCACTGTCTGGCTTGCTTTTTAGGGGATGTAAGCAAATGCTTTGTTGTGTTACATCAGCACTGTCAGTATGGCTCGTCATTGTCATAGAAAGTCCACTCCCCTATGCTATTGTACGGCTGAAAGCATGGAAAACTAGGGAAACAATTCCCTCAGCCACAGTTAGTTAGGTCTGTGTGCAGCACTGGATGTAGTGTTACCATAATATTGAAGGACACTGTTCATTCATTTGACCCTGGGACACTGACATCAGTTAAACTCAAGGTGTGTGTGCTCTTTTGACCTAATATAACATTTCTTAAGGCTAGATGGTTGTTCAGCAGTTTGTCTATGTTTTTATTTGGTCTGCTTTAAAGGGATAGTTCACCCAAAAATGAAGTTATGATTTATTTGCTGTCATGCCATTCCAAACCAGTGCTTACTTTCTTCTGTGGAACACCAAACATTTCACAAAATATCTTCATTTTTCTCTTCCTCATGTTGTTCTAAAACTTGTATGATTTTGTCGGATGATCTAACATAAAACACATAAGGTGCAATATACACTATTGTTCAAAAGAGTCTCACCAAGGCTGTATTTGTTGGATCAAAAATACTGTAAAAACAATAATGTTGTGAAATATTCATATATTAATAAATATGAATGAAAATGTTATAGATTTTAAAATGTAATTTATTGCTGTGATGGCTAAACAGATCCTTCAGAAATCATTCTAATATGTTGATTTGATGCTCAAGAAACATGTATTAATATTTTTAACGGTTGTGCTGCTTATTTTTTTAACCATTAAATATCATGCGTGCCCTTCTTAGTATGAGGACTGACAATATGTACCATAAATATATCATAAAAGTGGACCAAGCAACTTGTTATATTCCAAGTCTTCTGAAGTCATACAATAACTTTATCTGAGAAATAGACCAAAATTTAGGTCGATATTAGCCAAATCATCGAGTCAGTGTTTGACCTCAAGAACCAGATCGGATTTATAAACAAGAATTTGGACTGGTTTTGTGGACTGTGGACTTCTCATGAGCTCTCTTGAATGCACAAAACAGAGCTACAGTGGATATGTTTTTAGGTTTTAACAGCTTTACATCCCAAGTCTTAATTCACTTACATGTAAAAGAGGGGACAAGATACTATTTAAAAATTCTTTTTTGGTGTTCCACAGAGAAAATAGGTCACCTGGGTGTGATCTGTAAAAATGCATTTGACTGCAGGGCAGTGTATTTAATGTGATTGTAAATGTTTGATTTGATGGACAGCTCTGTAATCCTTAGTACTGAGGGACAAAACATGTTTATTTTGGAATCAAACCGGTTGACTTTCATTGGGATCGTGTAGTAGCAGTTTGATCATTTTCTTTCTTATTTCTTCACAGTTACTTGGCAGACCAGTGCTGGAATGGAGGCTGCATCTACCTGATCATGCTGCGAAGAATTAAACGCAAGGCTCCTCTCCCTCCATGCAATGGCAGTGGAGGCAAATCTGTGGACGTCTCTAATGAGCACCAGCGCAATGTCTCCTCCGAGCCTGCAGGCAGCCCCACACAGAATGGACAGAACGGCAAACGAACCCGTAAATTTGGTGTCATTTCCCGCTCCTCCTTCACTCGTGACAGCAAAGACAGTAAAGATAGCCGGGACTTTGAGCATGAGAATGGCTACAGCTCCATGGAGGCAGAGGTCACGTCCCCAGAGAGCAGCACCCCTCAGGACACACCGACCGATTATAGTCCAGTCATTGGCTCCTCAGAGCTGATATCCAATCACATGAAAGTGGGGAACACAGCCACCCTACCTAGCCGATTCCACTCACCCCTGTCTGAAAGCTACAAAACAGAGTCAATAAACAGTGAACCTTCCAGCCAGGTAAGAAATATAACAGTAAGAAAACTATTGTTTTAATGTAAGCTGTTGGAACTGGTTATTCAAAAAAGTGCAGAATTGAATGAATGCTTGAATCTACTAGGACTTTAAAAGAATATTATGTAAACATTAAAATATTTAAAATTAGTATATGATATAGAAATGTTTTATTTATGAAAAATAATTATGTATTAATACAATTTCTACATTTTAGATAATAAACATATTAAATAAAAAATATATTAAATACATACTCTATTTTAAAAAGCTATATTATATATTATGAAATAGTGTAAATTATAAAACGGTCCACATTATAATGTGTTTTATATTATAAAGCCAAACTGTTTGAAGTCTGTTGTGTCTGCGGAAAAGTTGCACAGATTATGGCCTCTATTAAAAAGCTAAGCAAATAAACAGAAAAGAGGGCACTTTAAAGTCTTTGGAAACACCCTTAAAGTGCACATATTTGAACATTTGCGCACTCTGCCATTGACTTTGCTTTGAGGTTGAATGAGTGGTTGGTTGATGCTCATGATGTAATTAGAAGTTTGGACCCCACAGTGCGGCTAACTGCATATGTTTCCGATTTGATTCTTCTTTGGACCTCTAGTGTTCCTTGGAGCATGTAAGCCTTGTGACATTAGACTGAGTGGCTCACTCAAAATAACCATAAGGGTTCTTCTAGATGTATTCATGTGTCAGTGGTTGGAAGAACTGCTTGGAGGGGTCGTCCTAAAAAGCTGTATGGGTCTGATTTTGACCAATACCACGGGATTTCAAAAACCGACAAGGTGCGGGTTCCATGAGATTCTGCAAAAAGCCATTTTCGGAAAGCCACATGAGAGGACAACAGACTGAATCCATATGCTTAATTGTATAACTGTGTCCTTAACTAACATTTAAAATAAAATTTAAAAAAGTTCTCCCACACAGATTTAGCAAATACATGCTCTTTGAAGGGCTTGAGGTGGGTTATATTTTTAATAGGGATGCACAATATGGGTACCATATTAGTTTTAGGCTGATTGTTAGATTTTTTAAATTATTATTATTATTGCTTGTTATTGGATATTACGTAACTTTTTTTGGTTAAAAATGATCCGAAATCAATATTTGAGCAATTACATAACCAGCCAGTGTTCAAAACTATCGCCTTACTTTAGCCCGATTCACAACGGTCAGCTTATAATAATGTTTTCTAATTTGAGTGGTACAGGTAGGCTTTCGTGGGAAATTCGAGCATGCCGCTGCATCATTACGTCACTTCTGTAAACATAAAGTCAAGTCAAGTCAAGTCAAGTTTATTTGTACAGCGCTTTTCACGATACAAATCATTGCAAAGCAACTTTACAGCAAATTAAGTTTCTACAATATTTAGTGGTAGCTTATCAGTGGTGACTGTCAATTAATGTACATATGGCAGAAATGTACGGAAAAATCAATTTAAGACGTAATAAAAAAGACGATGAACACTATTAACAGCAATTATAAAATAATTAAATGTGCAAAATAGCAAAATGTGGTAGTTCTGTATGTAGTTTCAGGGTTGGCATCATCTGAGGGGTTGGCATCATCTCTTCTCAGGTGTTCTAGATCCAGACTGAAGCTTGTGTAAATCCCCGTGGCAAAAACAGAGAAACAAATAGAGACATAATTAGCGTAGCTGCTGTTCCAACCAAGCAAAATTGATTTGTTTAACCCAAACTAAAGAATAATAATAATGTGCAACAGTGAGTGAGACAAAAATAATATACTCTGGTATCAAAACTCCATCTTTATCTAAATATAAAATGATAAGATATCATTTTATAAAACTATAAAATTTAAAATAAAAAGCAGCATTTTGAAGACTATTTATGTTCTATTTAATGTGGTAATAGCAAATCATTTTTATGGTATTTTGTGAATAAACAATGGCAAAACAAAAAACATCTGCCGTTATATTAAATAATGGAATGCTAATTTGAAAACAATGAATTGAATAAATTATATATCTTCCATTCTGTGCCATAGCCAATCAAGGATTACTTGAAAGGATTGTTCACCAAAAAATTACTGTCATCTACTCACCACATACTTTTTTCATACACTATCATATACCTTCAGAAGACGTGAAATATACTCTTTTTGGAGCTTGACAAGACCATGGTAAACATAAACTGTCATTGTATGGAAAAGCAGTCTGGACGTTCTGCTAAACATTCTTTTGTGTTTACCTGAAGGAAAAAAAATCATACTTGGTTTGACTGACATGGAGAGAGGAAGACAGAACTATTGTGAACTATTGTGTAAATAATTTCTTTAAATAATAAAGTCATTTTCTTTTCTTGGTTGCACAGTTAAGTAGAAATTAAAAGTTTATTTCAACACCATGGTCATTTTAAATATCGTCATATGCCATAAACAAATTACCTACAGTAAGACATTGCAAAAATACAAAAATAATGTAATTTACTCAGTGAAATTTAAATGCTTGGCTAAAGCTGTAATCTCAAAAGAGAATTCTATGTAAATAATCCTAAAGCATGCACAATCTCATGTACAAATAATATAAATATTTACATACATTCAACATGAATGCAATCTTACTCTTGGTTAAAATTAAAGCGCAATGAACTGGTGTTATGTTGTTTTGAAAAACGTCCCCAATCCAGACATTTTTAGACTGGAAAAATCTTTGTTTTGAACATTGTTTATAGATTTACAGGAATATAATTTTAGTATACCATACCTTGCCCAAAGGGGCTTTAACAAAACTAATAGATTCTGACGTATTTTCAAGATCAATCAAGATGACTGGTGTTCAAGTGGGCATTTTTGCAAAAGGTTCATTTTTAAATGGTAAAGAATCTGTGCGTCACTTTTTTTAAGGGACTGGTCCAAACGAAAACAATATTTCTGAAAGATTTTTTGCTTGACTGGTCAAGAGATGATTAATTTCTGTCTTTGTATTTGGTTTAGAGTTCATTTTAATCCACATCCAGAGGCTCCATGGGCATTGTGACCCGTCTAACCTCACACTCGATTCCAGGCCTCATTGGCGCCTCTAGTGGTGGCGTCGGTTCCTGCTCTTGCGGAGCTCTTGAACATGCTTCCATTTGCCCTTCTGTTTTTGCTTCTTCTCTTTGTGCCAGAGCGTTTCGCAGTACTCATCCAGAGAGCGCACAGGGCCGCTCAACATGCTCAAGTAGTCTTTATAGCGCTGACGGGGTTCAGTCATGGACGGAATTTCTGATGATTCCCGTATAGCAGGTTGGTGTGCGTGGATCTGTCCGCGGTCCAGGATGTGAAGAGAGAGGTGGAGCAGGGTACGGGTGAAGCTGTGCTCCTGGGAGGTGCAGAAGTATGAACCTGCGTCGCTACGATGGAGCCAACGAATCAGCAAACCTCGCTCGGTTATCAGCACACGCTCATCCGGTTTGATCTGCAACAAATACACAGAATTACTGATTCTTTCATAAAAATCAACCATATCAACAAATACTTTCTTGGACACACACAACAGCTTAATCACAGCCAAACAGTGATTTTATGTGTCACTTGCTGGGTTTATTCTCATAAATCATTCTGCCCAGGATCCCACAGCGAGACTCCTTCAAGGTCAGAGATCAGTCTTTAACCTCGCTCTCCATTTCCTGCTGACCTCACATTACCTCACATCTGATTGATCATTAGAATCTAATTAGATAAATTAGTAGACCCTGTGATTTCAGGGTCTACTTTCAACTTAAAGTGTTTGCATGATCTATTGCACTGATTTATATCCAAGGTGTCCATCTTTCTGGTGACCTCTGACATAGGAAGTGCTCTGTGTTCAGTGCACACAAACCTGTTTGTGAAATCTGGTTAATTCATATGAATCAAAAAATTGTTCGTCACTTTGATTCACCATTTAAAAAGTCCCTGTGTATGGCATTTTTTTCTAACTTTTTTTTACTCAGAGTGCAAAAAAAACATCTTCCAAATCAGGTCTTTACCCATATATGATAAACCTATAATAACGATTTATATTTTAGAAGTGTCTGGACAGATTTCACAGGAAATTTCATATTATTTGCATGCTATTTGCCCATCTGTGTAACATTGTGTTCCTACACAGAAAAAAGTAGCTCAGCCTCAGGCTGTGGGTAGCGTGAAGCTGAAAGTTTGTTGTCATAACAAACAAGAAAAATTGACCATGGATCATTCAAAATGACAAATTTTCAAAATAATGTTTGTAAAAACAGCAACAAAAAAAGACGAGATGTTCTATATCCATCTGTGCACCGGTGCCTCGAACCACATTTATCCATGCAACATTATTTAGTAAGAGGCATGCAGATTTAGTTTTAAATCATAATGGGCCAAAGTTATACAGTGTAGTTTTAAAGGCTGCTGATGTCACAATCTTTTTGATTTAGTTGTATAAATAAAGCAGATTTACATTGCATTATGCATATTTATTATAAATTTAAGTTCAAGACTGATGCTCTCAAGCAAAGAAAGATCTCTTTTCACAGATTTCGATTTAGTCAAATGAATCAGTTTTGCTGAATCATTTAAAATAACTGATTCAAAATAACAATTTACCCATAAATCAGTCATCTCCACCATTTTAAATCATGCTAATATTTTCTTTCTGTAAATATCAGTTTTCCATCTCTTCACCTCCCTTCCCTTCCGTTCCAGGCTGCTTATTCTTTCTCTCTCTTAATTTTTTTTCTGTTATCTGTGTTTTTGAGCCTGCTGATTTCTCCTGCTAGTCACGCTGTTGTCGTGGACTAAATCAATACAGCTGTGCAATAAGAAGAGGAGGGAAAGAAAGCTTCAAAGCATACTGAATCCCTGTAAAACGCACACAAATCGCTTACCGCTGCATCGTCTTATGCTAATCTCTCTGCCATCTAAATGACGCTTCAAGAAAATGCAATAGCCATAATTGCACCAAACAACTCTTTATATATTTGCATTTTAAATTTGGAGTGTGACTTTTAAGTGAAACCTTGCAGAAACGTGCCAGGAATGAGAGGAAATAGGGCGGTTTCGCACTGTCTGCAGCACCTGTGACAGCTGGAACTAAATCAGAAAGGCTAAGGGCACATGAGTGTCAAGATGAAACGCGTGTGTATATCATGGAGATGTTCTGGTGTGTGGGTGTGTTTTAAGTGAATGTGTGTGTGTCTGTGTTTCGTATCTCGGCAGTATATCACGGCGTGTAACTACCGCTGAAGGTTTTATTGGAGGGCAGGAGGAAACTGGCCTCTGATCACAGACACAGGTTTAAGTGCAGCATCGGTCTCAGTGCCGGGTCAAAGGTATTAAAACCACGATACGAGGCCTCTGTCTGTCTGCGGCCCCTCCGCACACTGCTGGGTCTGGCTGTGGGTTTTGAGAAAAAGAGAGAAGGTCTGGAACCTTCAACACAGGATCTGTATCACATCTCAAACACTAGTTGGCCTGCCGGTGACCCACAGTCCTATGGGAAATTATATTTAGTTGTAAAAAGAGGGTAGTGAAGAGCAAGGAAAAAATGGGTAGAGGGATGGAGGGAAAAAGAGGGAGAGAAGGCATGAAGGAGTGAGAACAGCCCTGTTTAGAATTGGTGAAGTACAGTAAATATCCACACCGGTGCGGTGACTGACTGCCACACATACTCTTCAGAACATTAGATTCATCCGTGCCGGAGCCGCGCCGACTCACAACCCACGCAAGCTAGATAATTCAGCACACAGCTGCAATTCCAGGTTTTCAAACAGAGATGGTGACAAAGAGGCAAAACTTACGGACTGCAGCTATAATCTTAAAAATAATTTAATAAAATGTAATTTAATAACACTGTTAAATTTAATCTGTCATGTCTAACATTAATGATGTGCTCCCTCTAAAATACACTTTTCCAATGTAATAAAATACATTTCCTATACAGTGCTACAGAGATTACCATGCAAGTAATTAGTAGCATTAATGTGTCTGTGCAAGCACTGGGTAGGAGCATGTCAGTGGGAGGATGTGCAAGTTTATTTTGACAGTGAACAGGAAAAGCGTGAGAACGTGAGAAGAGAGGCGGCAGCAGACCATCTCAGTCAGATATCCCGTGTCGGTGATTCATCCTGCCGACAGGCTTTCCTTGAGAACATGCCCCTCTCCTAGACAGATTTCAAAGGAAACGTGAACAAGTGGCAGCATGTTTATAGTTCTGAGGTGTGTGCTAACCCAACTGTCATGTTGGGAAGGAGTCTTAAAGGTGTTTCTGCGCCACAAGAGGCACCAAGCGGAATCGCAAAAATAATGAGCTCTTCTAAGCAGGCTAGAAACCTAGAAGCACCCTCTATCTAGGCTGAATAGACAGACATACACTACCATTCAAAAGTTTGGGGTCAGTAAGATTCTTTTTATGTTTAAAAAAAAAAAAAGAAGTCTCTTATGCTAACCAAGGCTGCATTTATTTAATTAAAAAATACAGTAAAACTGAATGGAAAAAAAAAGAAATATTATTACAATTTAAAAGTACTGTTTTCTGTTTTAATATATTTTAAAGATGTAATTTATTCCTGTGATGGCAAAGCTGAGCAGCCATTACTCCAGTTTTCAGTGTCACATGATCCTTCAGAAATCATTCTAATATGCTGATTTGGTGCTTATGTTTCATATTATCAATGTTGAAATTAATGTGCTGCTTAATATGTTGGTGAAAACCTTGACAACTTTTTTTCCACGACACTTTGATGGATGAAAAGTTGAAAAGATCAATAGTAAAGACTTTTACACTGTTACAAAAAAAAATCTGTCACATTTGATCAATTTAATGCATTCTTATTGAATAAAAGTAATCATTTCTTTAAAAAAAATTCTTTAAATCTTTTATACAATAGAATATTTAGCTAATACCTAAAAAGTAATTGTGGCAAGTTTGTGAAGTCTGTAAAGAATACCAGTGTTTTTTTTTCTTCCACCATGTTAACATCTTGCCTGTGTTTCAGTATGTTTTGGCTTCTAATGTTAGCCATTTTTAACATTGAAAAAAACCCAATATTTCCTTTAACTCTGTGCATACAGACACTAAAACAGAGCTTTGAATGACAACATGGTAACAAAATGAAAGGTTATGTAAGATCAAATTAGTATGACAAGAGAATAATTGTTTGGAATATTGTTTAAAAATATATTTTAGGCTAATTTCATTACACGTCTTTGAAATGGTTTTTGAAAATTCATGGGCTTCTGTGTAAGTGTTACTGTTAGAAAAGCTTTGATGTCAGGCACAATAGCTATAAATGGCTCGCTGGCTGAAATGAATTCATGCATTCAAACACTGCCTTTCGAGTAAGACTGCTACAGTAGTCCTGCAGTGCTACCAAAGTCACTTTACATTTTTACAGGTGATGAAAGCACTTGGTATTCATTGTTTGCATAATTAATTGCTATTTGTTTTTCTCAAATAGTTTTATAGTAAACTGTGATTTGTGCCTTGTCTTCGTATTTAAAATATTGAATGACTTTATTAAATCACTTTTTATATTGCATAAGTTGATTGTTATGTAAAGCCTGACGGAAAAAAACGCACACTGAATGTCATGACATTATTATATGTTATGGACTTTTTAAGTTCAGTAAGGAAGATGTTTGTTTTTCCTACAACTGGAGTTGAGAATCAGGATCACTTCCATTTAACAGTCAGTTATTTTGCTGTCAGTTATTCATTCAAAAGCAGAGAGTAATAACATCTTTTATTTATTGTTAAAAGCTATTTAGCCATCATAATAGACAAAAAATCACAAAAACCTCACCTCATTTTGCTTTTTTTTCCAGTTAATGCCACAGCAGACAGGAAGAAAGAACAAACTGCACAAGTAAACATATTTTGTCCCTTACACTTCAGATCCAAAACATTTGACTTATTAATTTGATGAACCTGAATTCATATTTGAGACTAAATTTCATATTTTATCGAAGGACAAGAGCATTAATGAACAGTAATGGCAGTGAACATATTAAGACTGATGACGTGCAGCTCAGAGAGTGAAAGAAGTGGCTGTTGAATCCGTCAGAAACAGGTGCTCCTAAAGTTTTCCTCCTTCTGATTAATGTACTCTCCAAAGGACGAAGTCAGTCTGAGTAAAACAAAACAAACAAAAAAACATGGATAATACATCAGTTCAGTTCTTCCTTTTAACTTTACAAAATCTTTTTTCTTATTTGGAGGTAAAAAGCTGTAAAAAAAATTGTATAATGTTTCTTAATTTGCTGAAACTTCTGTTCAGAGATGATCAGTAGTTATTTTTGCAAGAAATGCAGCATAAAATAGGAAGCATTTTGAGAACTGTAATGTAAGTTTAACCACAAAACAGCTGCTGCAGGGCTTGCGGTTTATTTAGTGTTATATAATGAAGAACATTCCTGATTGTTGCACCATACGGATAAATATCCCCCTGTTCTCTACAGCCCCGTGAGGGCAGCCGGATCTGGAAGATGCACGTGGTGAAGGGTCAGGATGGACTGGGTATCCAGATCACGGGCGGTCGAGGGTCCAAGCGCTCTCCTCACGGTATCATCGTGGCCCACGTGGAGGAGGGAGGAGCTGCACAGAGGTAAACTGATTTCATTTGCAAAAGTTTTCATTTGCTGCCGTGGCAACTGTAGGTGCTGTGGTGACCCTGCTCAATCAGCATCTCATGCATATGCGAGCGTCAGGGAGTCTTGAGTGCCCTCCACATCCACGATACTCATTAATCTTCAAAGCCATTGTGACACCCTCACATGGGTGCACACAAAATAGTCACGCTGCCATATATACGATTATGACCAGTTCATGAGTTATCAGACGTTTATTATTATATTAATTATTATATGTTTTTAATAACTATGATGGCATAGGTAATCTAAGGCCCTGTCCACACGAACGCGGTTATTTTTAAAACCGCAGCTTTTTCTACGCGGTTTGGCCATTCGTCCACACGCAGACGCAGCACCAGTTCACTGAAATCGAACATTTTTGAAAACGCCTGCCAGGGTGAAGATTTTCAAAAACTCCGGTTGCAGTGTTATCGTGTAGACAGCGAAACCGGAGTTTTTGGCTTGTGACGTCGAAGCCTGAGCTGTTATCTCCACCTACTGGAGACTTTTTCAGGCTTCTGATCGGCCAACATGGCTTTACGGTTGAGATTATATCGCCACCTGTTGGTTTGGCATGCTCTTGACAGTGCTTCATAGCATGCATTTGCGTTTTCATGTGGACAAGAGATTTTTTTTAAAACGGAAGAAGGAAAAACCCCGTTTATAATAATACCTGTGTACGTGTAGATGTAAAAACTAGTAAAATGAGCATGTATAATTAAATAATCACTATTTACTGACACTGATCAATTATAAAGTAAATAGTATCATATTAGTAATTATGGTAATTTAACAGTGTTTGTGAATATTGAATATTTAATTGTACTGTTTACATTATTTTATTTTTATATTTTTTTATTTGTGATGCACACTATATCATAAAATATATATACAACATATCATAAAATAAACATGCATTACATGCAAAGCACTGGTATGAGGTACAGATAAACAATGTAATTTTGAATACATATACAAAAAAAAAAAATCACAATATTGTCATAATCACCCAGATATCAATGAAATACCATATCCCCGGCTTCCTGGTGATTTCCACATCTAGTGATCTGCAGTACCGTGGTAAGCAAATTGCTGTCATTTTGCAAAGCTAGACAGAGTCAGCATGTGATTCTAACGTGAAATATTCCTTCACTTATACAAACATTGTATAAGGAATAACAATTTTTTTTTTTTTTAATACTGTAGAAATCTTTTCTTCCTCATTCACATGTGTTTCTCCCTTCAAACTCTGTTTTAAGCTGCAACACATTGAAGAATTTGCTGACTTGCTTCCCTTTGTGATTCATTAATGCACACTTTGACAAAGTTTGGAGGAAGCACAACAACCTGATGGTGATAATAAGCCAAAAGCTGAAATGAACCCTTTCTGCCTCGAAGAATGTGAATTACTCCCCCTAGGTGATGTGTTAAGTTAAATAGATGTGTTCAGGGAAATTAGACCCTTGTGGCTTTGCCTCGGGACCCAAAAAAATTAACTGATTTCAGATATACAAATTCATGAGATGTTGCACATCTGTTGGAAAATACATACGCAGCTCCCCCACATCACCTACAGTCAGAGCGGGCTATATTTGGGTTGACCAGCACTAGGGTTTATTGTTATAATTGAGCTGTACAACATTTTCTCCCACACAGTTTTAATAAGGGGCCATTTCTGAGAAACCTGTAGACATTAATCATGCATATTGGTCAAACTGGCTGCTTTCCAAATCTTTCTTTCTAGTGTGGAGCAAGAGGTGGCCTGGTGGTCAGATCAGGGCCATCAATACAGCATGATGTGGGTAGTTATGAAGTTTCCTGCTCTTATATAATGGCTGACACTGAGATAACCTCAGATTCCTTCGTCTGTGACTGAAGCCCTGAGGATTTTGACCAGTGAGAGGCTTTACGATTTTGAATCTTTCTCTCTTCACTGCACACTGTTCATCGTAATGAAGCTTCACTTGAGTGGTCAGGCTGGAACGATCCAAACTGCAGGACATTTGGAAATGGAAGAATGTAGCAGAGACAGAGATGTCTTTGTGGGATATTATGCCTAAATTCTTTTTCTTGATAAAAGCATGATGCAACTAGTCTCCCTTTGCTCTGAACTCAATGGTTATTGCATCATTTGCACCTTCTAGATCAGTGTTTCTCAACCCTGGTCCTGAGCATCCCCCAACACTGCACATTTTGTATGTCTCCCTTATCTGACACCCATTTCAGGTCCTGGAGTTTCTTTTAATGAGCTAATGAGTTGAATCAGGTGTGTCTGATTAGGGAGACACACAAAATGTGCAGTGCTGGGGGGCGCCCAGGACCAGGGTTGAGAAACACTGCT